CACACACACTCTCAGTGACTCGTCGGTTTGACCGGACTCGACGCGCGTCCCCGTGCGAGTGTACCGGTAACTCGCCATCCGAGCTTGTGTACGTGTACCCCAGGATCGGTACACGTGTATACGTATACGGCCGAAGCTGGGATTAATCCGGGATTATTGGTCGAGTGTGCGCCTCCCACCGCCCGCTGCCCAAATCCGAAATCCAACGCACACAACTCGGCTAATCCCGACTCCCTCTCCCCTCTCCCTCCCACTCCTCCCCTACCCACCGCGCCCCTCCTTCTCCTCCTCCTCCTCCTCCTCCTCATCGTCCTACTGGCAATCTCGCGAGTCGCACCAACGATGGAACGCTCTTGGCGTATCCTGTGTGTTCCACGACAGTCCGGCCATTATCCACTATACCGGCGTATTATATTCGACGGTTTAAAAGTCTCACTCTTCGTTTCTTTTTTCTTTCTTTTTTTGTTCTTTTTTTTTTTTTTTTTTCTAGTATAGGAATTCTTTCTTATTATTTTTGTACATCATAGGAGATGGAAAAATCGAACTTTTAATTCTCTTTTTCCTTCTCGCGTTGAATACACGCGAGTATACGCTTTTTCGAAGAGTCTTGTTTCTTCAAAATTCTTACTCTTGTGTATTCTTTCTTTTTTTATCCGCTGTATTTTGCGGACGAATTTAATTTGAAAAATTTTCGACAACTTGCATGATTTCGTATATATGTGGAAGAATACGCGTGTACGCGTTTGTAAATCAATAATGCAACTCTTTCGGTTTAGCCGTTGTTGAAAAAAAAAAAAAACGAAACGTGTCGATCTTAATTTTCTTGTACAAGCTCGTCATGATCAGCTCGTGTATCACGAACGTGTTTGTGATGAACAAATGGAAAGTATTCAAGGTTCTAGAAAATATGCCGTCGAGGTCGAGGTAAGTTAATTATGGGGAAAATTCAAATGGATGGAGATAACAGGCGAGAGGATGGAAAGTAGGAGGAGGAGGAGGGGGGGGATGGTCTAAATGGAGTTGGAGAAAGGGTTAAATGTCGTAACGAGTTCAATCGTATGCTGGAAGACGATGCGGTACGTGTTCGCCAGGCCGCATAGCCAGGTATTCAAATTTAATCCGGATTAGTTCGTAAGGGTTGCAAGGTAGCCTTCTCCCCCGATTCTCAACCCTTATACGCGCACACGAGAAATCTTGGCAAGCCTTGTACACGTGAAACCTATACCCTATTATCGCGATTCTCTCTCTCTCTCTC